TTGGCTATCGCCTTCTCAACACCTGCCAACCTTGAAGCCAGCGCTGAAAGTTTAGCACCGGTGATAGCCGGGCACGTCGATCTCTGAGCGCAGCATTCAGCACAGCTGAAAAGGTACTGAACGCTGGATGATAGCAATTTTTACTAGTCTGCTTGTAGGCTGGTACAGCTTTCGCGATACCAGCGGCAGCAGACGTGACGCTGTATACAGCCAGATAAATCTGTTACTGTTCGCAAGCTGCACTAGACTCGTCAAACGAAGACTACAGAGGTCCATCCGCTTCGGTGTTTAGCGAGATAGCAATGTTCATGTGGAAAACAGAGCAGGATTAGCACACGCATATAATAGTAAAGTCACCTCAATAAAAAATGCAAAAACAAGGTGCAAAACGGGAGTAAAACTGGGAAACCGGGAAAATTACCCGTAAGCGCCAAAGACGCTTTGAACAGTACCACTTTAATCGATGCAAGATATCTTGGATCCGGGGAACTTTGACAATAGGCAAATTTCATTGCAAGTGTTTATTCAAACACTGTTTTCCACGTTGTTTCAGCTAAAATCTCAATCAGTATGGCACGTCAAAAAATCGAGTTATCGCGTAGTACTCATTTTAACTTACGGAAGGCCGGCAGAGAGGGTCAGAGTTAACCGACCGATGTTGGAGGTAGTACGGTGATCGGATAGACGAGGAACATCGTCTTCTAGATTGAAATTCACCCCAATGTGATCATCCTGCACCGCAAAGGGGAGATATTTGGCAGTTAGTAAATATCCCATTGAGACTCATCATTTCAATGGGAAATGATTTGAGACACTGGTGAGCAACCGAAGCGCCAGGCGGTTTCAAGAATGTTCGTGTCCATTATATAACGCACGTACCTACTTTCCTAATGTCCGGCAGAACGGAATTGCCAATCAGGACAGCTGACCTAGCTATTGTAGCCGGTCTGCGGGCGTCACGGTAACACATTAACAGGTAAGAGGTCGATCGGTTTTGCTTCCTGTTATAATTACCCTCCTGTCCCTCTCCGGCACTCTTCCTTCCCTCTTCCATGCTTCCTTAGCTTCTTCCTTTACATCGACCTCTTACTAGGCGGTTGAGCGTCCAGCCGTCTACGAGGTATTTATTTTGCATTGCAGCTTATCGCACTATGTTGACACGGAAGATCTTTGAACGCCGGACCGGAGGAATATTACACTATTTCCAAACACGAACATCCTTGGGTTGACTTACACACATCCATTAATTTTACACTATTTGTACCCATTTTTCGCGGTTGTTCTTCCAACTCATTTTCGCATCTACGCGTTGACTACTACTTTTGGCTGTGATTGAATCTTACAGGGAACAAGATCATTACGAACGGATTCGTATAGAGGTTAATCTAACAGTATTGCACTGATTATTATTGTCTGAATGAAAGTAACTGAATAGAGATTACCATAACGGTGTTACAGTTCTTACTAGCGCACAATTCAAGTGCGTATAAAATTTGAACGTACTTATCTACTTATGTTGTACCAGTGTGTATACCATCCTTTCATCAACAGACTTATTGGAAACCGTGGATTGCTTACTGTCAGACGAAACCGGGCACGTCTGAACTGTGGGTCATTTCCGACTTGAATCGATTGAGCGTCATTTCCCGAATAGTAGTGCTTTTTTCATGCAGCGGCAATATCGTAATTCATTTGCATTAAGCGATGCAGACGGAGAAAGTTTATTGAACGCTAGTTCCATTGATGTGAGTGCTCCCTTTACATTTGGTTAACTTTCTTGCAAAGGATCGGCTTGATTCTGACATCGAGGCTGATATCCAGCAGACTAGCCTGTGTTCAGAAATCACCACAAGCGATGGCGAAAAGTTGTCTATATCAAGTATCGAGGCACTTGGAATCAGCGAAACTTCGAACCGCTCTAGTCTCTCTCTCAGCGATTCAAAACAGTCAATCTTCTTCAGAAAAACTGTTCTATCCGGTGTGTCCAGCCAACTAAACAGTTTTTCGTCAAGGGCCGATGTTGGTTCCCCTACTTGCCTGGTACGTCTAATGATTTTGTCGTTCCTTTTACTGTTTCCGTTGCATGTGGTTACATTTTTGCCGCGCTTTTACCACAAGCTTCATTCAGCATGTCTGTCCGCTTTTCCTTAGACACATTGGGTGGTAACATAGCTATTTGACCGTACTTCATATTTTGCTCGTTTTTACTACTCCCAAGTACTTTACTCGATCAAATCCAACAATATTATGTTTTTACTGTGTCTTTTCTGCTTTTCTACATTTCCGTTTTTCTATTAAAACACTTTCAAAAGCGCTATTACACCCATACTCTTTTGAAGCAGTCCTACTTGAAATACTGACGTATTACTGTTGTTGCTAGCGATTAATTGATCAATGGTATTTTCTTACTCTACAATATTCATAGCAATCGGAAGCATATATTGCTGTCCCTAGTTTTTCACTTCTTGCTTAAGCGATAACGCGCCGGCCGATTACATGGTGCTTGGGCATGAAACATACGCAACATTTAGAATCGAACTTGCCTCACTTTTCGGGGTAACGAGAAATCTACATACATTTCAAGTTTTACTATAGGAAATGGCAAGTGTTGAAGCGATTGAAGCGATGTACGCAATGGAGCCTGACCGAAGGCTGAGATAAGGTCTCAGTGGTCAATCGGAGGGGAGGTTCGGTGCGCTTCCCGGTAAAGTTCATGGAGAAACGACAGCGTACCAAGGCATGATCAGAGTCAACGCAAGTACTCCAGAAAGAGCGATAATACAGGATGTAACCACGCCACGTGTAACTTATGGCAACGTGATCTGTTTGCGTCCATCGCTGGTCAGCTACAGGAGGACTCCAAATGGCACTTCGGCGCTCACTATATCCAAAACAGTACTACTAATAATCAGCTGGTGCTCCGCACACATCTGTAACAGATGCTCGCCGTGGTCAGTCCGTTCGGAGTTAAGCCCATTGTTACCACGTAGCTGAGCTTCCGAAGAGTTCAGACGACCTACTTGCGTATTCACATCCCCTGTAGGCACTCTGGTATCTGGACTGGTAACACTGCGTAGTACCGTGTTCAATTCGTGGTAGAAAATATCCTTCGCAGCGTCAGAGCTGCAATGGCTGGGGGCATAAGCGGGAACCACAAACAAATAGCGTCGAGTGCTACTGCGTGAATCAACCACAGTTGATGTAGTCGAACGGGCTGCACACAAGCGGCTGTTCACGGGAATCCAATCAACCAACGATGATTCAGCTTTGGAGCTGAAAATAACACCCACTCCACCTTGACCAGAAGCTGCCGCATCAGCGTCTCCATATGCGTGCAACCAATAACCAGAGGACAAACCGTGTGCAGGTAATTCAACAACTCCGCGATCTTCATTGATCCCAGCTTCGGACACACAACATACGTCAATACCCAGCGTGTCTAACGTGCGTGCGAGTGAAACCTGTTAACTTAGTTGTCTTAGAGTGCAAATTTTGAACGCCGCCAGGGAAATGGGACAGTATGGCTTTATAAGGAACTGTTGGCGATTAGTGTCCAGTGGTTAGTGCGGGAATATTGCTGCGGATGGTATGACTCCAGTGACATTGTGGTTGCTGTCAAATAGACTGGGAATTATCGAATGAAGGCTTGTACTGGAGTAGAGAGGGGAGTAAGAGAAACTGGTGGAAAAGAAAGGGAGACGCCAGCAGTAGCATATTTTCGCTTATCCGCCCTGCTGTATGTAACAGATAAGGCGACCCTTGATAAGCTGCGCGACGGCCGATGCAGGATATGATGGAAGCTTGAAGAACTAGTCATGATGGTACGTGGGCTGCGATATTGCCAGGGCGCCCAGCCCTAGAGAGATGAACGGTTAGGGTCCCCAAGCAAAGCCTTTGGCTCAAAAACCTCTCCGCAAAACAGCGGGGAGTTGACAATAATTTAGTTTTACGGAAACGGACGCCATCCCATTTCAGACCCCAACGAGGACCAGGAAACGAAGTTAGTCTGACCTCTAATCATTGACCAATCTGGTAGAAGTAGCTCTTAAATGGCCCCAGGGCCCCACTCAGTATATGGGTCGACGAGGTTCGCAAACCGTCACGTCATGTTAAAGTCCAGTCTCGTCGTGACGGATGTCCAGCGGCTGTCTCTTTTTGATCATGACTGCTTCCGACGCATCGCTGGTGCTTGTTGACGAAGTTCGACATCGAATTTTCAAGTCAGATATACTTAGTTGATCATTGATCACCACAGTTTCTTAACGTGCTTTCGGTGGCTCAGGCACGTTCTTCGTATGCTTGTTCAACGGTGGCCTCGACGTGGTTTTTTTTACATGCACAGGCATTGATTTTAAGCGATAGGAAAGGTGGCTAACACACAACCTTAGTCCGGGGTGTCAACGCGCTGACATTGCATTGGGGTATTCCATACTCCCGGGTTTGGAACCCAAGGACAGTGAGCACAGTTACTTGGAAATGCTGTCGGATGTGCCTAGGAATCGTACCAAATAGAGAACGTCTTGTGTGATTCTCCTCCCCTGGCTGCTTTTTCCTCCCATCTCTTGTGCTTTTGCCCATGCATTTTGGCATTGCCACGTAACACAAAGTTCGTTTCTGTCCAATTTTACTGGGAGCTTTCGGCGGAGGTCGAACAACATCAAGGAACGCGCGGACCTCCAGCCCTTCGAGTGGTGATAAGTCAGCTCATAGACGGATTTGCCTGAAGTTAGCATAGCGTACTGCAACTAGCTTTGATGGTGTTCAATGTCAGTGGGTGGAACATAAGCCAATTGGTTTGTTAATGACAGTTGATAGTTCAGCCGAGCCGACTGATCGGTTAGTCTGTTCGTATCAAGTCTACAATGCAGGTATTCGCACAAATCAGCGCGTGATCTGAATCAAGCAAGTTGTCCAAAACCATCTACAGTTTTGTATGCTACACCGCCATTCGAAATTGATTGCAATGTCGTCTATATGAGACCATGCCTGCATTAGTGAAGGAGAACGCCAGCGTACATAACGTCTCCTGGAGTGCCTAAAGTTTGTGCTTGCGAGAAACAGACCATTATCTTCAAACAAAGTGAAAAGCCTTATTCCGTTATCCGATCGATTCTCATTCCGTACGTGATGACTACACAGGGAAATTTTACTTGGTAACAGGCGACTAATCCATGCGCTGAAGTCTCCTTCAAGGACAACGACCGCCGATTTGACCGAGTTACGCAACTGCTGGTGAAGATGGTGATAGAAATCGTTTTTGATCGACTCACATCTACAATCGGTTGGCACACAAGTGAAGATCACATACAGGTTATGCCTTTCAGCACAATGCCTGTTAGTCCTGCAAGAGCCCTGAAGCCGAACTTCACATAGTCGGCTACTAACCGGAAACCAATCCGGAATGTGGTCTCCGTTTTACTACTTAAAACCATACCAACGCCAGGCAGTCCAGATGCAGCTGCTTCTGTGTCGCTTGACAAAGGTAACTTATATGTGACTTCCTGATTAGTCTGAGATGTCAACTTGAGTACCGTGTTTGAATCTCGCAACTTTGTTTTTGTAAGGAAACAGATATCAATATCAAGGGAAAATAAAGTACGTCCCAACCCGACCTGTTGTCCGATCTGCATAAGTGTGCGAATATTAGAGGTTGCCAGCCAAAACGACGAGGATCGTTGTCAAAGATTGGCCTCCTGCCAGACATCCTGGTTAGTGGCGAAACCGGCATTTGGATTAAATCCACAGTAACGGCGCTTAATAACAGGACAACGGTTAGTATGTAGTATAGTTTGGTAAGAGCCGACGGAAATAGGAACGAGAGTGCAACGACGTACAGTGTAAACAATGTTTTTGCGGAGTTGGCTTAGGGAACCCCACCCCGAGTCTTTGGCTCAACAGCCTAATTGTAAGACAGCGAGGGGAATCCAGAGAATGGCGCCCATTGGGAGCCACTGACCGATCTGTCGGTTCATAACACTTTCCTTTGGTAAGTTAAAGAACAGGGCCCATTCTTCCCTACAATGATAACATCCATCTGCTCGAATATAACGCTGCATCGGAGTGGAGCCAAAGACTGTGACTTTATTTAGTAGGCCGTCACATCCGCCACCTCGGAGTGTTGTTATACTAAGTGTTGGCTTTTTGAGAAGTTTCCTCAAAGCTAAACTCAGCCAGACAGCCACCACACTTCCAGGAAAGCGCTAGACGGCCGTTTCGTCTTATTGGGACTAGTCAGTAGCGCGCATTCGCCGAATCCTGCCGGATTCGAACCCGTGACCTTACTCTTACGAACCAGCGGCTTATGCCACTGAGCCATAGGTGATGGCGGCGGATCACTATGATTTTTATGGGAACTACACTTGCCAGGCGAAGATCCACCACTTCTTGAAACATTGCTGCCGAATCATTTGCTGGAACAGGATAAATCTGAACCACCCAGCTGGCACCACGAGAAGGTTGTTCGCCTCAGTTTTAGAGGAACCTAAGCACATTGGGACTAAAGTTGTTTAAACTTCAACCATCGTTCTGGTATGAGTAGCTCTGAAGGTAATTCCAAATTAGCGCACATTGTAAATCAGTGAAAGACTCACGTACGCAGCACCTTAAGGTCCATTCCCTTCACAACGGATCATTGACTATAGGCCTTAACCAACATAGGTGTCGCAAAGTCAGTGGCGCTGATGTGCCTGGTCTGTTGCTTCTGATCGCCAGCCTATCCATACAATACTTTTATCATTTCTGTTAAAGTCGCACTGGGTCGCTTTGGTTGGATATTAAAAAAACCTGTACTCTCAGGTTGTTCGATCAGGAAGGCAAGGTTGCAGGTACGGTCTAATGGCAGCCAGACACGAGACAATTACAATGGCACAGACTACCATTATTTATGGGTTCGTGGTGTTCTCGAACGTTCCTTGTTCTTTTGTGCTTTATTTACCAGTACTATTATTAGATTATTCGAGCACATTTTCCCCATCGACTAATGCGATTATTCTACTGAATTTCTGAAAAAGGGTTGAATTTTGGTCCATTTAGGGTTCACTGATCCATTCCTTAGGTGCTCCTAACAATTTTCATCCCTTTTCTCGTAAGCGTTTATCTTGTTTTTAGTTACGTTCCCTCCTACTACTACAGCATTGACGCTACTGACTTCG